ATTCCACAACAGTAAAGATTTTCATCTATTTTGTTCACTGATACAGCCCTAGCAACTAGAGCAATATTGGACTTGTGGTAGGTTCCTAATCAATGAATAAATGAATAGATGAAGATGTGAATCACCTGTCCTGATAAATGACTATGTATTCTTTTGTCTATGATTTAGTTCTGGAACTATTCTCCTTAGTGTGGAAAGCAACAGCCAAGCCCATATGGGTGCTTATATGCAGAACATGTTTAAGTATAAATATTAATATGAACAGATGAAAGTTATTTTGTATGATTTGACAAATTTTTCTGTGTTGTATCAGTGGTCTCTTTCTATAACAGAGATAATTGAGATTGACCATAGAAGACTCGAAAAGTAAAGATGAGACTTATAGGTAAAAATTAATTACGTCTAGAACTTTAGAGTTTGTCCAAAGTCCAAAAGTCAAAATAAAATATCAAGTCCCTCACCCTAGCTGACTGAACAGACCCCCTTTTTCACCAAAGAGACCCCCAAAATAAAGCTGAGTTGCTGACCATAAGAAGGGAGGTGAGACATGCCTGTCCCACCCCTTTCACTTCTTAAAGATAACTCATTAGCAGGCCTAAGCTGCTCAAGACAAAGCTTAAACCACCCATACCTGCAGGTCATCAGTTTACTTAACGAATACACTTGAGTCTGCTAATGTGTCTTGTACATATCTGGTGCTTTGTCTCTGATTAACAGGCTTCCTTATATTAACTTAAAACATTCCAGGCTGTTAGACAAAGCTTCATTTCTTTAACCAATCACAAATCAAAGAATCTTTTTTTTTTTTTTTTTTGAGACAGAGTCTCACTATGTTGCCCTTGGTAGAGTGCTGTGGCGTCACACCTCACAGCAACCTTTAACTCCTGGGCTTAAGCAATTCCTTGCCTCAGCCTCCCAAGTAGCTGGGACTATAGTTGCCCACCACAATGCCCAGCTATTTTTCTTTCGTTGCAGTTGTCATTGTTGTTTAGCTGGCCTGGGCTGGGTTCGAAACCCACCAGCCTCAGTGTATGTGGCTGGCACCATAACCATTGTGCTATGGGCGCTGAGCCACAAATCAAAGAATCTTTAAATCCACCTGAAACCTGTAATTTCCCGCTTGAAGACGTCCTGCCTTTTTGAGATGTCCTACCTTATATGCTTTCTATGGATTAATTTATGACTTCATAAGTATTTCTTGTTTCCCTCAAATGTATAAAATCAAACTATAACCCACCCACAGTGAGTTAACTTGCTCAGCACTTCTTGGGTGTGGCTCTCTGGGACATTGTTGCACATATTTGACTCAAAATAAATATCTTTAAATTCTTTACAGAGTTTGGGTTCTTTTACATTGAAATAATCAAGACTTAGACCACAGATAAATGAGTGGGTTCAAAGAAATGCAGTGGGAACCCCTTGGAAATTTTTTTCAGGGTGTATATGAACAAGTCTGTACGTGTACAAGTGTAGTGGGTGATGGACCTGGCACTGCTGGGTTGGTGTTAAAAAACGTGTACTTCTAAGCTCCATAAACATCTCTGACTGGAAAGGTAGCACCATCCTTGGCTTTTCCATCCTCTAAGCAGATCTCATCGGAGCCCTTAAGAATCACTGAAGCTATTCAATGGCTGAAGAATGGAAAGGGTATGAAAGATACCAGAAGGTTTCACTCAACTTAAGAGAAGAGTCATCCTTCTTCCTGTTTTTCCTCTTTTGGTTTAAAAAGCTATACCTGCTATTTTGCAAAATTTTCATTTTCCTTTTAGTTTCTTCATAATTTATGACTTGCCTGAATTTTCCATTAATATTTTACATGTTGAAGTACACAGTGTTTTAAGTCCTAAGATTCTCCTGTGCTTAAACTAAGTTCCTAAATTATGTCATATTCTGAGAACTGTAGCCAGGAGTTAAAACTTGGCAATTAAAAATTTGGATTCAGTACAAGTTTCTACTGTTCCTTGGAATCACTCAATATGACCTCTTAATGGGTGGGTGGGGGGCTTTTTCTCTCTTTATAGTTGCTAGGGATTTCAAAGTTGGAGGCCAGAGAAATACAGAACTGATGATGTGACTTTCTTAGGAAAATGTGTGATTTTATTTCTACTTATTTCAGATGTGGGCTATTTTTTATGTGTATGAGCAGTGAGAAGCTATGTTAAGGAAAAAAAATTTTCTACATATAAATATGTGCTTTAAAAAAAACTGTTGGCTTTAAAACATAAAATGTTTATTCTCTTTATACAGTAGATCATAGTGCCTTTTGTTACTGAATAGGAAATTCTCAATGGAAAGTGAATCACAAAGAAGGCAAGAAGTAGAATTTCTTTTTTGAAAAAAGTCCTTTTGTTTGACGTTTTTTATTGTAATGGAATTAAGCTTATGATTATTACAGTATACTCTGCTTGAAACATTCATCAGTATTGCAAGGATTAGTAGAGATGGGAAAAATCTCTTAATAAAAATATTTGTTGATAGAGTATCATAGTAAAAGCAAACCTCCAAATAACTGTTTGTAGACCCTAAGAGTATAAGCACGTTCAATTGGGAGGAGATAATCAGTCTTTCCGTTCACATATATTCTTTTTTATTTCCTTATCATATCTTCTCAAAATAGAGACATTCAACAGTAGTTAGAACGGTCGTCTCCCAATATATTAAAAAACTGCACCCCAATGAATGAACAAAATAAAGAGCAGTGACCTAGAGATCAGCTGAGTAAGTCTTAAGTGGTGGGGTCTTCTAATTTCAAAGTGATATGTCTTTGACTTGTATCATCATTTTAGTGGAAAACATGATTTAATTTGGGTGAAATGAGATTTACCTCCTGACAGGATTAGTAGCAGCATTCACTTAATTTTACATTCTTCTTTTGTGAACCGTGAAGACAATGAATCTGAAGACAATGAATGGTAACAAGATCAATGGGATTCCAGCTCCCAGAGAGATGGAGTGATGACATACTAGGACAAAAACACCTATATTTTGATTTACAAAGCTAACGGCAGTTTTAAACCTGCAACTTAGTTACAGACCAACTGCCTCACAGTCTTATCAAACAGAAAGAATACAGAAATATTTTAGAATAAAAACACAATTTAAGTGCATTGTAAATAAAAGCACTGAAAAATATCTTGCTAGAGGGAGTTCAGCATGGAAAAGTTATTACCAAAGCTAAACATTTCTCTTTTATGTAAACTATACTCAAAAATAGCTTTATAAGACTGATTCTGGCTAAAAGTATCAAAGGGCTTATTAGTCAAGAAACATATATCTTAACTGACAAGGCTGGATAGAAAAGAAACAAAGAAGTCCCCTACCCCAAAGGTTCAGGCTTATTAAGATTTCTGCATTATTATGGATTTTTTCATTAATATATCCCTTAAAGTCAGAATGTGTTAATCAGGGAATTAATTATAGCTCAAGTTAATTTCCAAAGAAAAAGAAAAAAACCTGAACAAATGAAACCTGACATAATCTGACCAAATGTGTTAATTTACATTTTTAAGGTCATTTTACAAAATACCCATATTTACATAACAGGCTCATGGTAGCATTTTCAGACAAATGATCTTTTAATTTATCCTGTTATGGTATAAATGAGTAAATCACACTGTTTAGAGAATTATCATCAATAACTTTTCCTTTATCTTGGGTAAGAGAAAAAGAAAAGAGCATTCAAATAAGATGGAGAGGAAGCCCAAGCACTTAGATACCTTAGAGAAGCAGGTGGGGGTTGGGTGGGGTTAGCAATTGCTGAACCTCACGCAGTGTGACCTGGAGCTCTGCTTTTAGTCATTTCACAAGTATTTTCAAGGAAAATATTTTGTAGTCAAACCCTTTAACTCTTTCATTCTTAATCACAAATCAGTCCAGCTGTTAAGTCAACAGGTGGGAGTCACAATATGAAGTTCTGATGATTGCACTACTAAATGTTGTGCCTGCAAGTCATTAAAAAAACAGAAAAAAGAACAAATGCCTTTCCCCTTACGATAAAAAATTACCTTAAAATAAAAATATTGAAAAAAGTTATCACACTAAATCTAAATTGGCTGGTAAATAGCTTGAAATAGTCTTTTAAAAATTAGGGAGATTTGCATTTCATACTGAGTAAGCAAGATCTTTTTGTTGTTGCTGTTTAAAACAATATTATTTCCTCACAGAAAGGAATAGTTTTTAGTTTTTAACAAACTTGTCAACAAAAATCTCCCATTTCAAAATAAGGACAAAATCCCAGCTCATATTGATGTGTACAGTGATTAAATTTCTCTAAGCAATGTACATGTCCAGTTGTAAGATGTTAACTAAATTTGTGACAAATGTGCTATTTTAGAAAAAAATAAGAACATGATAAAGCTAATGTGGAATCCTAAGGATAATCTAGTAGTCACTAAGTTTTTCTGAAGTATTCACAGGTAAGTAGGCAGTCTTTCATATGCTTACATACTGGACTCTTCTGTTGCTACTATAATCAACTGGCTTGCAAACAAGAAGCCAGCAATTTTAAGAATGTCCTAAGTGAACAACTTGCAAACCCCAGGAACGGAAAAACCCTAAGAATGCACGCACAGTTGTGAGCATTTACAACCTTCACAACTGTGGCTGAAGACTGTTCATGCCATTCTTCTGAAATGAAATCTCAAAGCAGTCTAGGACAAAATAAAAGGTTTTAACAAACAATTGGCATATGCACAATTTCTCTGCTAATTTGTATGTGTCTACTATTCAACATTTCCACTTGAAAAAATGCAATAGAAGACCAGACACCATGTTTCACTACCTCCGTTAATATTCACAATTACAGCGGCTACAACTTAGATACAGATCACTAATGCTGTCCAAAATTGGTTTATACTGGAATTAAGATTCTTTTTACACCAAGTAAATGGTTGTCCATAGCCACTGGCTCGTGTACATATGAAGTGAAATTTCTAGATGTGAGGAGAAACAAATCCTGCTCTGATCATTTGCTCTGCTCTCTGTTGTTCCTCAATTCACACTTAGTAAGCTTTTGGGTTACTCTTGGTTTTGTCGGGTTGCTTGCCTGTGGCAGTCTGGGCCTGCTGGACCTGCCCACTGGTAGAGGCTGCCCCCTGTGCTGATTTCTGCTTCAACAGTGTCCAATCAAACGTGTAGTCATACTGGTGGTTCAGGGACCTGAAAAGAATGCGGAATAGCTGCCTCAGATACATGTAATCCGGAATTTCCTCAAAGCGCAGCCCACGACAGTAGTTTAAGTACATGGCAAACTCTGCAGGAAACCCCTTACACAAAACTTCAACAGGCGTGGACATTTTCTTTTCACTAATCTTTTCATATTTTTGTTTCTTTGTTAGAGCCTTTAATCCTTGCCAAGGCAGGGTGGTTCTGTTAAAATACATTAAAACATAGCCTAATGACTCCATGTCATCTCGGCGACTCTGCTCAATACCCAGATGTGCGTTGATGCTGGCATATCGGACAGTGCCAGTGAGGTGTTTATCTTCTCTATATGGTATGTGTTGTCTCGTCCTGTTGTCTCTGTACTTTTTGGCCAAACCAAAATCAATAAGGAACAATTTATTACAGTGACGACCAATACCCATCAGGAAGTTGTCTGGTTTAATGTCTCTGTGTAGAAAGTTCTTCGTATGCACATATTCAATTCTACTGATCATCTGGTCAGCTAACATAAGTACAGTTTTCATTGTAAACCTTCTGGAACAAAAGTTAAATAGGTCTTCGAGACTGGGTCCCAGAAGATCCATAACTAGCATGTTGGTGTCTTTTTCCTGCCCATACCAGTGAATGCGGGGTATGCCAACCCCACCTTCGAGAATTGCGTAGAGTTTGCTCTCGTACAGCAACTGGGGATGTCTGGCCTTCTGGGATTCTAGCTTCACTGCCACTTCCTCGCCGTTGGCGGTGCTCACGGCCAGATAAACCTCTCCGAAGGAGCCAGACCCGATCTTCCGTACTAGTTTGTATTTGCCTCCCCCAATGATGTCGGCCTTGGCGACACCAGGGGCGCTCGCCATCCCGAGCTACGGAGACAGCGGCCGGGCCCGGGGGACGTCCGAACGAGGCCAGGAGGCCTGTGCAGCTGGTGGGCAGGGGCGGCGGCGGCCGAGGGCGCGGGAGACGTGGCGCCTGTCCCGGGGTTACCCAGCTGGGGTCAGCCCGGGCCGACCGGGTCGCCACCGCGGGATCAGGCTTCGTTTTGCCAGGCCGCAGTGTGCGAGGGAATCTCCCGGTTCCTGGGCTGAGCCTCTTGTTTCTAGGCGGCCTTCTCTGCCTTGCTTTCCCGGCAACGTCGCGGGCTGGAAAAGGGACGCGGCGGGCCGGAGCTGTGATATCGCCGCCACCGGCTCCCCCGCGCGGGGACCGGTCACCCCGCCCGCGCCGCCATCTTGTTACTGGGCTCTGGCCAACGCCAAACAGAGCATCTGTGGAGAAGCTGTTAACGTCCCGGTACTCTGTTTAGGCGCCGCTGTACGGTAATCCCAGGAGGTAGCTGTTACTTTCCCTGCTTTGATGGGTAAGAAAAGTTTAGTCTCAAGTAAGAGGCCTAAAGTGTCTCAGAGGTTGTGGGAGAGCTGGGAACCAAACCTGCGTGGACTTGACCTGCCTGTACACTTGTATTCTCTCAACTTCACCCTGCAGAAATGGGAATCCTAGGGGGCTTTTATAAAGATTTTCTTGTTTTCAGGCCCAATCGTCGGCCCACCCGCTTCCCTAGCCATCCTCTCTGCTTGGTTTCATGTGAATCGTGGTGCTGCAGTGTCTTAGGCCGGTTCTCTGCCACCTCAGAGGTTACTCCTTTTATTGGATTTGGTCAAGCGTTGTTTCCTGCTAGTTGAATTGAGATGCCATTTTTTAATTTTTCAAAGTTAACCCTTTGAACTTCTTTTTCGTGGAATTATTTGAGTGTAAATAGGATTCCACAGACAAGTGTTGGTAAAATTTACTAAACAAAAGATTCAAGTCAAATTTAACCAAAATATGGAGGGAAAACAGATTCAGGAAGTTCTCAGAATTTTATCAGAGGAATTAGGACCTGGGGTAGCATGAAAATCTGTATCATTTTCAGATGTTTCCACCTTCAATATTTTTATGACTATAAAACTATTCACATTCTCACTTTCTCAGATTATTATTTCTGTTCCTAAATTTTCTGATCAGCAACAGTATGTGGTGAGAGAAGGAGCTTGTTTGAGGTATGGATGGCCGTAGAATGTTACAAGGTGCTTTAAAATATTTTATTCAATCTACATGTGTGAGGTGACTAGTGTAAGCTATTACTTAACTTTACAGTAGAAACCATCTCCAAATCTTGGTGGTTTACAGTAATAATTTATTTGTAATTTTTTTTTTTATAGGCTATAGGTCAGCTGTACCTCTGCTTCCTGTGTTGTCTTCATTCTAGAATGCAGGCTGAAAGAGCAGGCTCCTTAGTAGATGCATGCTGTTCTCATAACAAAGGTAGGTGACAAATGTCACATTCCGTTGGATAAAACACATCACATAGCCCAGTCCAAAGTCAGCTGGGTGAAAATGTATATTCTTCCCCCAGGCAGATAGTAATATAATATACCTTCTTCAGTAAGGTTTATTATTATGATTCTGCTTCTCATTTCACAGAAGTAGAAACAAGGTACAGAGAGGTTAGATGACTTGCTCACAGTCATACTACTGATAATTGTCATGCCAACTTGAAATTCAAGTCTGACCCAAGGCCATTACTTTTTACATAATAACAATAAGAAGGGCATTTCCTTCATTTACTCATTCATCTTTGTTGACGTGTATCCAGAGAACAATTTTCCTCCTAATAACTAAAAACAAAATTTATGATTTTTAATGCAATTTCCACTATGTTCCCTTTCAGTATTCCAATCTGAAATTCAAATGATCTCGATATGAAAGAAGTCATTCAAAAAAGTTGCATGTAGTCTGTTCTTGGATGAAAGCTAAAATCTCTTTTTAACACTGGAACTAGAATTGCTTAACTGTTCATTAAATTTTTTTCTAACCCCTGTAATTCTTTGACCCAGTTAAAAGCACTGTCTGCGAAGTAAGACAAGTATAATTTATACTTGGTTGTGGGAACCTTCACTGGTTGGGAATTTTGTGAGCATCTCCAGAATGGGAAGGATTGCTAGCTGAAGTGATGAGTAGCTTACAGTTTAGTCTCCTATGAATTCTGTATATCACAAGTCAAAGGGGCTGCTGAATGTTCACAGAACACATACATTTTCTCCTCTCTGGGTCTTTTCTTGGTTTAGGGTTTTGTTCCTCCAACTTGAAGCGCTTCTAGCCTGCTTTACCTTCCTGACATCACCCAGGTCTAATCTTAATCATCTTTCAGGACTCCATTCTCAAATGCTTTTTGCTTCATGAAGCCTTTTCCAGTTTCCTCAATGAGATACAGTTCTTTTTCTTAAACCTAAATAATGCTTCACTTAAAATCTTGCATCCCCTCCTACCTTTTATGTCCAATACCTTTTCTCTAAGAGATGTACAACAAATTGCTTCAAAAATTGAAACTAATCTAACTACTACATTTGCTAAAGTTTTCTGAACAGTGTATGAGGTCAATGCATTATTTATTTATTTATTTATTTATTCAACAAATAGCTATTGAATGCCTCCTATTTGCAAGGCCTGCCTGACTTACCAAAAGTGGCATAGTTATAGAATGATGGATTCAGAATTGAAATTCAAGACAGCCTAACTTGAAAGCCAGTGCTTTTAACCCCTAGATAGAGATCAAAACCTAGAGGCTCCTGAATGGTGGATGGCTTCACTGTAGGGCAGATATTAGATCTCTTTCTTTCCCTTAAAAATTATATAAAGTATTTTACCTATGCCTTTTAAGGCTACAAAGTTGCCATTGAAAGCATTTTTTAATTAATATGAAATGACCCCATTAAAAGTAAAATGACATTTTCTGGGCAGGACTGTGTTGGGTAGAATTATAATGTTCCATGGTGGCAGATTTAGGTTTTGTGGGTCTTGCACTTGGACAGATTTTTCAGAAAAAGAATATAAAACTAAAAATAAGAATGACATATTTAGCATAGGAAAAGAAATCATGACCATTGACTTTAGTGTTGGACCTTCAGTTCTTTTTTTTTCTAAGCTATTTTGAGGAAATTTACCAAAAATCTTTATATAGAAATGCTTTTTTATTGCAACCTGATTTTGCCTCCCCACCTAAAATACTTCACAATTCCTGCCTGCTCTGAATACTTAGAGCAGACCCTATAAATAAGGCTTTATTCACTTCTAATAAGTCCACCTCTGGTCCTGACGGTTTTAAAATGATGGTCCAGTGGCATTCATGTTAATCTGGTATGAGTTTGTGAGTTAATTTTCTGGATTTCTTGTTATCCTTTCTCAGGAAATGGACATACTTTATTAGAAGTAGCTTTTTGAGACACAAGAATTTCTAAGTTAAAAAAAATTATTTTTTGCCATGCAATTGAGTGGACTATTGTAATTGTAGAAACCATTTGATGTGAATATAATATCCTTTTAGAAATATTTAAATAGAATACAAAATAAAAATGTGTTCTTAAATAAATAATGCTGTCACTAAAGGTTGAAGTTTATGTGGCTCAAACACTATGGTCAGAATAACATTACCCAGAATCAATTATTTTAATTTAAAAAAATCTTGGAAATGACTAAACTTTATAGAAAGATTTAAGTCATTTTTTCCTCAAAGCTTTCTGGAAGTATTGGCATTGCAAAGACAATGAAACACTACTGGAAATTAGCCTATTTGATGTAGTATCAAAAAAATCATAGCAGTTTTTTTTTTGTGTGTGTGTAAGACCATTTTCTCTCTGTTGCTCATTCATTTTGAAACTTATAATGTATGCATTTGCATAAACACTTTTAAATACCAATTTTACTATACCTGAGAATGTAGGGTACAATTCAGCCTTAATAATTACTACCTTTTCTCTTGATGAAGAAAAAATTAAACCATGAAGATATTGAAATTTTGACACCTTCACTTCTTTCCAGAACAATAAGGAATTGTATGCCCTCTTTTATTTTTTCTTGCAGGCTGTCACTTACTTTATTAAGAGCATCCAATTTGTTGGCAGATCATTATAAGAGCACATCTTATAATGTTACTTTATTCAAAGATCAGAAAAATCACACAACTGTTCATAACATAATGTTACCCTTATTACATCTTCTAGTTCCTTTCAGCTAATTGTACTTAAGTTTTTTTTGGGTTTTTTTTTTTGAGGCAGAATCTCTCTATGTTGCCCTCGGTTGAGTGCTGTGGTGTCAAAGCTCACAGCAACCTCAAACTCTTGGGCTTAAGTGATTCTTTTGCCTCAGCCTCCCAAGTAGCTGGGACTACACGTGCCTACTACAATGCCCAGCTATATTTTTTTGTTGGTGCAGTTTGGCTGGGGCTGGTTCGAACCTGCTACCCTCAGTATGTTGGGCTCGTGCCCTACTCAGAGAGCCACAGGTGCCGTCCCTGTACTTCAGTTTTAACGGTTACCTACTGTAATAAAAAATGCTGTACGTTATAATTATGTCAAAATGAATGAAGTTGAATACAGGTGATCCATTAATTTAGGCTGTTTTAATAATTCTGTGAGTTCATGTTGTGATTAGTTTGGCTGTGATCAAGATGTATAATGACATAGAAAATAAAAGGATTGGCTGTGTAGACATTAGTGCACCCTGAATGTATTTATACAGGCTTGTACTCCTGATGAAGTTCCCTTTTAACACTTTTGTCTAGGGAGAGCATCTCCAGCAGAGGACAAATATTTTTGACAACTCTGGGTTCTATGGTTGAGTATGTTTATTTTTGAAGTCTCTAATTGGTTTCTTGTAATTACGTTCACAGAGACTTATTATCTCATCCAACTGCTATATACTCTCACTAAAAGTGCATTTCTAGAATCATGCTTTTAAAATGATCCTAATTATCTATTAGAAAAGACATGTTTTTGAGATAAAAGAGAGTTTCTGAGTAATGAGTTATTGTTCAGTACCAGCT